GGGGGGGGGGCGACTCACTTGGGGGCACCCACACAAATTTTCACAAATTCATATTGTTTTCGCAGCCCACTGAAAAATTTGGTTATGTCCGCCTAGGCCTTGCAGTGTCTGCAATGGAAAACACTGTCATGAGTTTCGGGTGTCATCTGCAAAGGAAGACACGGTGTTTTGTGGCTGCACCCTTGTCTTGTCAGAATGGGATGAGGAACTCTCTCCGGGAAAAATCCGGGGGGGTGTTACAATTTTAAAGTTTCGTGAAATTTCCCCTTTCATTGGCTCCAGAAGCAGGACAAATGGGGTAACTTTCTACGCGAGCATTAAATAAAGAGAATGTAGAATATTATTTTGGTTTCTCAAATAGAAGTTTAAAATTATTGTCAGAAAAAAACGAGTTTGAAGAAAACAGAATAGTACACACAGGAAATAGCAGATCAGTCGTCCATTATAATGAAATGAGCCAAACATATTTATAAAGAAAGTAACAAGGTTAGTGGACTGCAAGATAATGTTACTACTAGACTAAGGCCAGGCTATATCTCGGGCAGTACGATGTGAACAGAGATGCCAATGCATAAATAACCCGCACATAGTAAATTGTGTGGACAGAAACAGGGCCATACACTTGAACAGTGAAACGTCTGGCTCTGTCGGTGTGTAGGCCTATAGCTCACATGATTTAACTTGGTTAATTTCATGTTCCCATTTCTCTTTCCGGAAAAAAAACTATGTCCTTTTGAATTCCCGCTCTTATTCGGGCAACATATTTTTCAAGGACTCCGGAGTTAGTTTAATATGTTTATTATGCACCCCATACCCATCCTGTGGGCGGTAGTCAAAAGATTACAGAGGTACATAATTGGTCCGGGACTGGACTCCAAAGTTTGGATAGCTGAGCAAATTACAGAGGTAATGAATTCACAATTTACAATGGTAATGAACTCACAAATTACAAAGGTAATGAACTCCGGGTAGGTCTAGTCACAATCATGACAAGTTACAAAGGTATTTACAGATTACAGAGGTACGTAATGGACCCAGGGACGGGGCCCCAAAGTTTGGATGGCTGAACTAGGTACAAGGTAATGAACTCACAAGTTACAAAGGTAATGAATACTGTAAGAATGGTTACTTACGTTTATACATGGCTACAATCATGAACAAATTATAGTGTAATGAGCAATTCACACTTCCACACCCGGTCACAAACTGTAATGAGTTATTGGTGCAAATATTGATTGTTGAGTCACACACACACACACACACACACACACACACACACATTATATATATATATACAAATTCAAAAACCCCACACACACACACACATAAACACACACACACACACACCCCACACACACACACACACACACACACACACACACCACACACAAAACACACAACACACACACACACACACACACATAAAAAACACACACACACACCACTTCCCCAAACCCCCAATACAACCTCCCAGACCACAGTCTTAGAAAAGAAGTTGAAGGTATGGTATACAAATGCAGATGGAATAACAAATAAGTATGAGGAGTGGCACGAAAGAATCAAGGAGACATCCCCAGACAAAATAGCACTCACAGAAACAAAAACTCACCAGAATAATAACAGATTCAATCTTTCCCCCCGGATATCAAATCTTCAGGAAAGACAGGGGGAGGAGGGGGGAGGAGGAGTTGCACTGCTCATTAAAAAGCCAGTGGGTTTTTGAGAAAATGGAAGGAATGGATGGCACGGGTGAAAGGGACTACTTAGTAGGAACAATCCAGTCTGGGGGGACATAAGGTGATAATTGCAGTAATGTACAACCCACCACAGAACTGCGGAGACCAAGAGAAGAATCGATGAGAGCAACAGAGCCATGGTCGACCCCACTAGCCGAGGTGGCCAGGAGAGCACACTGGGGGAGCAAAGTTACTAGTTATGGGTGATTTCAATCACAAGGAGATTGACTGGGAAAACCTGGAGCCCCAGGGGGGGTTCCGAAACATGGAGAGCCAAGATGATGGATGTATTACTGGAAAACCTCATGCATCAACATGTTAGGGGACACTACCAGAGAGAGAGGAGAAGATGAACCAGCAAGACTGGACCTTGTATTCACCTTGAGTAGTTCAGACATCGAGGATATCTTGTATGAAAGGCCCCCGGGAGCTAGTGATCATGTGGTTCTGTGCTTCGACTCATAGTTGAGCCCAAGTGGAGAGAGTAGCAGGAAACAGGATGGGAAAAACCAAACTACAAAAGGGGGAAATACTCAGGCATGAGGAACTTCCTTCAAAAAATTTTAGTGGGAGAGGGAAACTGAAAAGGAAAACCCGTACAAGAAATGTGGACTATGTGGCAACAAATGAAGGAGGCAGAGAGAGGTTTGTTCCCAAGGGAAAAAAGAAATAATGGGAAGAAAAAGAAAAGGGGTCCTTGGTTCACCCAAAGGTGTAGGGAGGCAAAAATAGGTGGGACTAGAGAATGGGAAAAAGGGACAGAAGACAGAGAACTCAGGAAAATAAAGAGATTAGCCGAGAGCCAGAAAATGAATATGCACAGATAAGAAGGGAAAGGGTCAGCGGGCAATATGAAAATGACATAGCATCGAAAGTCCAAGACTGACCCGAAGCTGTTGTACAGCCCCATCAGGAGGAAAACAAACAGTCAAGGACCAGGTAATCAGACTGAGGGAAGGGTGATGGGGAATTCACAAGCAACGACCGAGAGGTTTTGTCAGGAGCTCAACACGAGATTTAAAGAAGTATTTACAGTTTGGGAAAACCCGTAGGACTCCCGGAAATCAGAACAGGGGGGTACAACCAGCAAGTGCTGGATGAGGTACATATAACCAAGGAGGAAATGAAGAAGCTGCTATGCGAACTTGACACCTCAAAGGCGGTGGGACCAGACAACATCTCTCGTGGGTCCTTAAAGAGGGAGCAGAGATATTGTGTGTGCCATTAACAAAGATCTTCAACACATCATTTGAAACTGGGCAACTCCCTGAGGTATGGAAGATGGCAAATGTAGTCCCAATTTTTAAAAAGGGAGACAGACATGAGGCACTAAACTACAGACCTGTATCACTAACGTGTATAGTATGCAAGGTCATGGAGAAGATCATCAGGAGGAGAGTGGTGGAGCACCTGGAAAGAAACAAGTGTATAATTGACAACCAGCATGGTTTCAGGGAAGGAAAATCCTGTGTCACAAACCTACTAGAGTTTTATGACAAGGTGACAGAAGTAAGACAAGAGAGAGAGGGGTGGATCGACTGCATTTTTTTGGACTGCAAAAAGGCCTTCGACACAGTTCCTCACAAGAGGTTACTGAAAAAGCTAGAAGATCAGGCACACATAACAGGAAAGGCACTGCAATGGATCAGAGAATACCTGACAGGGAGGCAACAACGAGTCATGGTATGTGACGAGGTGTCAGAGTGGGCGCTTGTGACAAGCGGGGTTCCACAGGGGTCAGTCCTAGGACCTGTGCTGTTCTTGGTATATGTGAACGACATAACGGAAGGGATAGACTCAGAAGTGTCCTTGTTTGCAGATGATGTGAAGTTAATGAGAAGAATCAAATCGGATGAGGATCAGGCAGGACTACAAAGAGACCTGGACAGGCTGCAAGCCTGGTCCAGCAACTGGCTCCTTGAGTTTAACCCTGCCAAATGCAAAGTCATGAAGATTGGGGAAGGGCAAAAAAGACCGCAGACACAATATAGTTTAGATGGCCAAAGACTGCAAACCTCACTCAAGGAAAAAGATCTGGGGGTGAGTATAACACCGAGCATATCTCCTGAGGCGCACATAAATCAGATAACTGCTGCAGCATACGGGCGCCTGGCAAACCTACGGATAGCGTTCCGATACCTCAGTAAGGAGTCGTTCAAGACCCTGTATACCATTTACGTCAGGCCCATACTGGAGTATGCAGCACCAGTTTGGAATCCACACCTAGTCAAGCACGTCAAGAAATTAGAGAAAGTGCAAAGGTTTGCAACAAGACTAGTCCCAGAGCTACGGGGATTGTCCTACGAAGAAAGGTTGAGGGAAATCGGCCTGACGACACTGGAGGCCAGGAGGGTCAGGGGAGACATGATAACGACATATAAAATACTGTGCGGAATAGACAAGGTGGACAAAGACAGGATGTTCCAGAGATGGGACACAGACACAAGAGGTCACAATTGGAAGTTGAAGACTCAGATGAATCGAAGGGATGTTAGGAAGTATTTCTTCAGTCATAGAGTAGTCAAGTCATGGAATAGTCTAGAAAGTGAAGTAGTGGAGGCGGGAACCATACATAGTTTTAAGGCGAGGTATGATAAGCTCATGTAGCAGGGAGAGAGAGGACCTAGTAGCAATCAGTGAAGAGGCAGGGCCAGGAGCTATGACTCGACCCCTGCAACCACAAATAGGTGAGTACAAATAGGTGAGTACACACACACACACACACACACACAAACTCATACACACGCACGCACACACACTCATACCGGTGAAGAGCAACCGGTGAAGAGGCGGGGCCAGGAGCTAAGAATCGACCCCTGCAACCACAAATAGGTGAGTACAAATAGGTGAGTACACACACACACCCACTCATACACACACACACACACTCATACATACACACGCACACACAAACACACACAAACACACACACACACACACACACACACACACACACACACACCACACACACACACACACACACACACACACACACACACACAAGCACTGGACAAGCACCTAAAGTCAGTTCCTGATCAGCCTGGCTGTGGCTCGTACGTTGGTTTGCGTGCAGCCAGCAGCAACAGCTTGGTTGATCAGGCTCTGATTCACCAGGAGGCCTGGTCACAGACCGGGCCGCGGGGGCGTTGACCCCGGAACTCTCTCCAGGTAAACACACAGGAGCTTGGACTCGACTCCGGAGGCAGAGCTCAATAACACCTACACTTTGGTGGCCCTTACAAACCCCAACAACAACAAGTTGTCCCTAAGTCTCCTTTCCGGTTCTGGGCTTGTGGCACACACACGTTTATTTTTTGTCCCAACGGAAGACTGTGGGTGCTTTCGATATATACATCTTGTTACTATAGATCCATGTTCTTGTTGGCTGGGTTTCTACAGTTCTTTTATTCTTCATGACACAAATGATTAAGAAGGAACATCAGTTAAGACTTCGTTCCGCTAAGTTATTATCGTGGAGGTACCTTCATGTTTTTTAATGACTATTTTCAAACGAAAAGTTATTAGTCATGGCTGCTGAGGCAAAAAATGCAGCCGACATTACTAACAAGGGTAAGCATGGAGTGCTATTCACACCACAAGAGATTGATCAAATCGCCAGGTTCCTTGTTGCAAATCAGCGGCGAGAAAGAGAAAATCTTATCATCCCCAGAACCTTCACTCCCGTAGTGATGAAATCTAGAGAAGAGAAAGCCGTAGAGGCAGTCTTTGAAAGTTGTCCCTTCAAGGCTATTTTATCGCTATTTGCAGGTGATGCCAGTTTTATAGATTTTATAAGACATTATTATATGGAAGTAATTTGAGAATCATAGAATGAACAAATGTGTACACTGTACATCACATTATATCCCTAATCATGAGTACTATATTTCAGTTAGTTACTGTCTCCTATAGAAATCATTAATGTTGCTATAAAAAAAAATTATAAATTTAACTTATTACTGTATTGTTATAGCATTGTTGTTAAAAATGGTTATCATTAATTTACAGGCTTTGTGCTTGGTGGAGGTATTGGTTTATTTGCTGCCAGTGTCACACCTTCCATTCCAACCCCAGACAAACCATTGCCATCTGCTCGAGAAGTAATTTTTTTTTTGTTTTAATATGCAATGAATCATGATACTTTTATTATTATTTTTAAGGATTTTGAATACCTCAGGAAAAAGGAGAGCATTGCAGTCATAAAGAATTTTGATTAGGTGGAAAGGTGTGTGGGTAGAATTGTGCTGCATATTCTATATATATTTTGTTACAGTAGTTACTTTTATTGAATGGAAACCTATTTCAATAAGAAATTTAGGTGTTATTACCCATGAGGGCAGACTCTCTCCTTGAGAATTAAAGTGCTAGGTTCATTGTGTTAAAAGGGAAGTCATGTAACAAGAAGGCCACCTTCAGCTTGTCTCATATTCTCATGTAACCCAGTGTCTTGATTCCTCCATGATTCATACCTGGTTGTACCAGTCATTTCTTCAGAGCCTTTATTGCTCACCTGACTTACATTTGGAACATTCATTAGAATAGACATCATACCTCACAGAAGAAAGTACAAAGGGAACAAAGGGCCATACAGGATATTGCAAGAAACTCAAAATATTTCTATTCCTATGCAAAATCAAGCTAAGAACTACCTGTAGAATTGGACCACTACTGAGAGGAGGCTCGTATACTGATGATGAACAGGAAATGAGTGAAATCCTAAAAGAAAAGTATGAGTCAGTGTTCAGCAGCCCACTAAATGACAGCAAGGTAGAAAATGCAGAAATATTTTTCACTCCAGAGAAGGCCGTGCAGACCAACTAACTGACAGTACAAATCCCATAGTTTTCGAAGAAATGGAAAACATGCCACTCACTCAGCACCTGGACCGATTCATGGAATGCTCTGTTTATAAAGAAGTGCAAAGTACCACTAGCACAAGCCCTCAGTATTCTTTGGAGAAAGAGCCTAGATCTAGGTGAAATACCAGAGGCCTTGAAGAGTGCGACATAGGTCCTTTGCATAAGGGAGGTAGTAGAGCACTAGCTAAAAATTACAGACCAGTAGCCCTAACCTCGCACATCATAAAAATCTTTGAAAGAGTGATGAGACGGCAGATTACAAATTTCATGGAGCACCACAACCAACATAACCCAAACCAGCATGGTTTTAGAGCAGGATGATCATGCCTGTCACAGCTGCTGAACCACTATGACAGAATTACGGAGGCATTGGAAGACGTCCAAAATGCAGATGTGAGCTACACAGATTTTGCAAAGGTGTTTGACAAATGCAATCATGGAGTGATAGTGCATATGATGAAGGCCATGGGCATTATGGGGAGGGTAGGCAGATGGATTTTCGGGTTCCTAACACACAGAACACAAAAAGTAGTAGTGAACAGGGCAAGATCCAGCATCAGTGAGGTCAAAAGCTCAGTGCCTCAAGGCACTGTCCTGCTACCTCTGCTGTTTCTCATCCTCATAGCAGACATAGACAAAAACACCCGACACACTTTTGTATCATCATTTTCAGATGACACTAAAATTAGCATGAAAGTCACCACAATAGAGGACACTGAAAAAGTACAGGAAGACATAAACAGGGTTTTCCAGTGGGCAGTGGAGAACAACATGACGTTCAATGGTGATAAGTTCCAGCTGCTTAGGTATGGAAAGAATGAAGAAATCAAAAGGAACACTATATACAAAACTCAAAAGGATCACCAAATAGAATGTAAGGAACACGTAAAAAACCTGGGAACAATTATGTCAGCGGACTTTTCTTCTAAAGATCATAACAAGACAAAGATCATGACAGCCAGGAAGATGATGGAGTGGATATTGAGAACTTTCAAAACAAGGGAAATAATGCCGATGGTGACATTCTTCAAATCGCTAGTGCTCTCTCACTTACAGTATTGCTCAATGCTGACAGTCCCTTTCAAAGCAGGAGAAATATCAGAGCTGAAACAAATACAGAGATCGTTTATGGCTCACATTGAGCATGTAAAGCACCTAAACTACTGGGAATGCCTGCAAGTCTTGAACATGTATTCATTAGAGCAGAGAAGAGAGATACATGATAATATGTACCTGGAAAACACTCGAGGGCCTATTCCCAAATCTGCACACTTCCATAACAACATACTAGAGTGAGAGATATGGAAGGAAGTGTAAAATAAGCCCAGTGAGGAGCAGGGGTGCGGTGGGGACAATAAGGGAACATTGTATCAACATCTGGGGTCCCAGACTATTCAACATCTTACTAGAAGATATCAGAAACATGGCTGGAACAAGTGTAGAAACCTTCAAGAGGAAACTGGACAAGTATCTTCACCAGATGCCAGATCAACCAGGCTGTGATGGATATGTGGGGCAGTGGTTATATGTGGCATGCCTACTGGATGTTCAAGCCACTATCACTTAGAACCTCCTTTATCTATTCCTAACACTTCCTGGAAAATTCTCTGTACCTCCTCCATTCATCCACTCTAGATTTGTTAAACTTATGTTGCTAAATTCTTTCTAAATAATTTAACCTTCTCAACATCAACTAATTCACACATTGAATTATATTTTTCATACTACTGCACCATCATCAAATTTCATTACTGTATTCTCTACACACAAAACATTGATCTTAAAAGCTGTGTATGTATTTGTATAACCATAAACTTTGAGATGATCCATGGGGTGGATAATAGCAAGTAATTTGTAAAATACTTGCAGGAACTTTCATTCTTTAAAATTTTGTTAGAAAATAAGAATTAAATGTAAGAAATTATTTAATAATTTTTTGATATTGTGAGATATACTAGAATACCTTTCTCAGTAGCCATAGTTCCTTTTTTTTTAATACATTTGAGTACCATGAGCTCTACAGTAATAGAAAATTTAATGGTTTCCTTGAGTGCCCAGTTATGATCTATCCATGATTTAATTAATATCATTATTTCTTGCAGGTTCTCAGAGAATTAAAAGTTTCAACTATATCCTATGGTAAAAATTTTGCTGCCATTGGCTTCCTATTTTCTGGAGTAGAGTGTGCAATTGAATCGGTGAGTATTTTCATTTCACTTAATGATTAAGCAATAGTTTGTTGTACAATATTGCTCTAATATTGATTCTAGAAATGTTTGGACACTCAGCCAGTTGGGTGCCCAATTTATTCATATAATTACACATGCTGTACAGTATATTCAAGGCATTCTTATCATTACATAATGCCATGAAATTCTTTCATTGCTGATAATATTTCTTCAACCTTGTTCTCATTCTGGCATGTGGATATGAGATCGTTTTCCTTTAGTGTCAACCACCTTTTTCATCTTGCAGTTACTCGTCCAATTGTACACGTCATCAATCTGAATTTGTCTCTTCTCTCTGCATACCAGAATTATCCAGGAGCTTCATGATTTCTCTCATTTGGGATCTAGTATTTAGAGTGTGCAATAATCACAGTAATTATTTAATTCATTTGACTCATTCATTGCACAATCAGCATTGATCTGAGCTTTGTAAATATAGTATTACACTCCTATGTTCTTCTCCCATACATCTGTATGATCCTTACTGACTTAACACTTGTTTTTGAATAATAATAATAATTGTTTACATACATTAGAGTTGGCTGAATGATGCCCTCCAGTATTCTTTGCTTACTTCCAAAGGATAGAGCTACTGAACTGATCCTTTTTCCCTAAATGGTTTCTTATCAAAGACAGGTCATTCACTATAAATTCTGTTACATACCCTTTAAACTGAATAATAATAATAATAATAATAATAATAATAATAAAAATAATAATAATAATAATAATAATAATAATAATAATAATAATAATAATACAGTCTCTCCTCACTTAACGATGGAGTTCTGTTCCTGAGACCATGTCGTTAAACGAATTTGTCGCTATGTGAGGAGCATACTTTAATGGTAGTGGGTTTCTGTCAACCATCTTTGATATTGTTTTAATGTCTCGTTTGTACCATTTATAACATTTCTGGTATACAGCCTCTCCTCACTTAGCGACATACTCGTTTACCAATGACTCAGACTTACAACGGGCTCTTTGACCAGTATTCATACCTAAATAATGTATGTTAGAGCTGATTTCCTCTATTCTGTTTATTACAGTACAGTGTATATGGTACACTACTGTATAAACATTTAAAAATAAAAGTATACCAGAAATGCTATAAATGGTGCAAAGGTAACATTAAAACAATATCAAAGAGGGTTGACACTAATGCATTACCATTATAGTATGCAAGGTCTTAGGAATGGAACTCTGTCGTTAAGTGAGGAGAGGCTGTATTTTTAAATGTTTTTATACAGAAGTGTACTGTATATTAAAATAAACAGAATAGAGGAAATCAGCACTAATATACATTATTTAGGTATGAATACTGGTCAGAGAGCCCGTCGTAAGTTTGAGGCGTCGGTAAACGAGTACATTGCTAAGTGAGGAGAGGCTGTACAGTAGTCCCCTGTATCTGTGGGGGATGTGTTCCAAGACCTACCATGGATACCCAAAACCGTGGATAGTAGCGAACCCTATATATAAGTAATTTTTTGTATATATACATACTTATGATAAAGTTCAATTGATAAATTATGCAAAATAAGTCTAGAATTCCTAGGTAGTAAGTTGATAGACAGCAACCGCCCAGGGAGGTACTACAGTCGTGCCAAGTGAGTGCAAAACAGAAGCCTGTAATTGTTTTAAATGATGGTAAGAGAACTGGTGTCTTTTTTTTCTATCTCATAAATTGTGCAAGGTTTCAGGTATGTCTTGGTACTTGTACTTACACTTAGGTCACACTACACATGCATTTACAAGCATATACAGTGCTCGTCATGGCATTATGCCGGGTGAGCACCCTGGCATAATGCTGTGACGAAAATCAAAGGCCTACCATACAGGGGGTGTTTTTTTGTCAGTGCACATTGCTAGGTAGCAGCCATTAGCATGATGTCATGGCCTGCTGCTACACTTCACAGTAACTTCTCATTGCTCACATGGCTGCTGTGGTGAGAGGAAGTGTTGCACTGTTGTCTCTCATCCGCCCCATCTTTTGTCCGGTGTTCCCTTTGGTTTTGGGGCTATGCATGTTTGATTATGAGTAAAAGGTAGTCTTTAACACCTGAAACTATAGTTCAAATCATAGGGCTTCACAAAGTTGGGCACCAGACGAAAGAAGTAGTGGAGAATGTTAGTGTGTGTGAGCGTTCAGTGAGGAACTGGGTGCAACGTTTCAAGGTTGCTGGCGGTGTCAAGTTACTGTCTGCCATACCTCGGCCTGGCCCCTCGAAGAAGACACCTGTTTGTACCTTAACTGTGTTAAAGAAGCAGTTACTCTCTAACTGCTTCTTTAACACAGTTAAGGTACTAACAGTTAAATGTATGGAAATTTTGCTGAATTTATGGTAATATTTATGTTACAAAATTATTAAATGATATTTTTCTTAATATTTAGTGTTAAAATGCATAAAAAATTATATATTGCCATGAAAAAAAAAAAAATTCCACAAATTTGCGGGGATTTCCGCAAACAATTATTAGTTAGATTCTAAGGAAAAATCCGCGAATTACTGAAGTTGTGAATTTGGAACTGCAAATTCACGGGGATCTACTGCATATATACACTCCCCTGGGTTTACTTCTGTTTTCTTAGTAGTTTTTGCTTTTGTTTATTTCCTCTTATCTCCATGAGGAAGTGGAACAGAATTCTTCCTCCCTAAGCTATGTGTATCGTAAGAGATGACTAACATGCTGGGAGCAAGGGACTAGTAACCTCTTACCCTGTATACATTACTAAAGTTAAAAAGAGAAACTTTTGTTTTTCTTCTTGGGCCACCCTTCCTCGGTGGGATACGGCTGCTTTGTTGAAAGAAGTACATAGTCTAGAATTACCACTTTTTACTATTGTGAAGCATTTTACAGCTTCTCTTAGGCTTTGAACAACTGCCACCATCACTACTTTTGCACTTTGGGGCCATTATTAAGCAAAACTAATTTTTTTTGGGGTCACAGTAAACTGCATAACTGAAACCACAGATACCAAATCCATAGATATGGGGGTCCTACTGTAATTATATTTACTTAAGTTACATTAGATGGATGCAAGGTTGAGAAAATTGCTGTAATTACTGTAATTTCTGTAATTTTGTATTTTATACACTGTACTTTGGAAAGTTTCTATCCTTGTTTCTTTTAATCAACACGGATGAGTACCTTAGTTATATTGTCATTCTTCTTCTTTCTTTCAACAAACAGGCCGTATCCCACCAAGGCAGGTTGGCCCAAAAAGAAAAAAGAAAGTTTCTCTTTTTACCTTAAGTAATGTAGTATACAGGAAAAGGGGTTACTAGCCCCTTGTTCCTGGCATGTTAGTCGCCTTTTATGACAGTCATGGCTTATGGAGGAAGAATTCTGTTCCACTTTTCCATGGAGATAAGAGGAAATAAACAAGAACTAGTAAGAAAATAGAAGTAAACCCAGAGGGGTGTGTATATATATATATGCTTGTACAAGCATGTGTAGTGTGACCTAAGTGTAAGTAGAAGTAGCAAGATGTACCTGAAATCTTGCATGTTTATGAGACACAGAAAGACACCAGCAATCCTACCATCATGTAAAACAATTGTACAGGCAGGATGGTAGTACCTCCCTGATCGGTTGCTGTCTGCCAACCTACTACCTATGGTTATATTGTCATTTTCTTTTTAACATGCTGGCTGTCTCCTACAGAAGCAGGGTGACCCAAAAAAGAAAGACACTTTCACCATCATTGACACATAATCACTGTCTTTGTAGGGGTGCCCAGTTATGACAGTTTAGATGTCACTCCAAACAGCCAGTATCCCAAACCCCTCCTTTAACCCTTAAACTGTCCAAACGTAGATCTACGTTTGCACATGTAGTGCTCCGAACATACATCTACGTTTTTTTTTACATTGTTTCTTATGGAGAAAATTCAGGTCAGAGCGCTACGCGCACAAACGTAAATCTATGTTGGGACAGTTTAAGGGTTAAAGTGCAGGCATTGCACACCCACCTCTAGGACTCAAGTCCAGCTAACTGGTTTTCCTGAATCCCTTCACAAAATATTACCCTGCTCACACTCCAATAGCTCGTCAGGTCCCAAAAACCATTTGTCTCCATTCATTCCTATCTGACACACACATGTCTGTTGCATACCCAGACCCCTTGCACACAAAACTTCTTTTATCCCCTCCCTCCATCCTTTCCTAGGATGACCCCTACCACTCCTCCCATCCACCACAGGTTTATACACCTTCCAAGTCATTCTAGTTTGCTCCATCCTCTGTAAATGACCAGACTACCTCAATAACCCCTCTTCAGCCTTCTGAATAATATTTTTTGTAACTCCGCACCTCCTAATTTCCACACTTCGAATTCTCTACACAATATTTACACCACACATTGCCCTTAGACACGACATCTCCACTGCCTCCAGCCTTCTCTTCGCTGCAGCATTCACAGCCCATGCTTCACACCCATATAAGAGTGTTGGTACCACAATACTCTTGTACGTATATTCACTTCTTTGCCTCTATGGATAACGTTTTTTGTTTCCACAGACACCTCAGTGCACCACTCACCTTTTTTCCTTCATCAGTGCTGTGGTTAACATTGTCCTTCGTAAACTCATCTGTTGACAAATCTACTCCCAAATATCTGAACACATTCACTTCTTCCACACTCCCTCCCTCCAATGTGATATCCAATTTTTCTTTACTTAACTCGTTTGATACCTCATCACCTTACTCTTATCTATGTTCACTTTCAACTTTCTCTCTTTACACACCCTGCCAAACTCATCTACAACCTTTGCAACTTTTTTTAGAATCTCCCAAAAACACAGTATCATCAGCAAAAAGTAACTGTGACAACTCCCATTTTGTATTTGATTCCCCATAATTTAATCTCACCCCTCTTCCCAACACCCTAACATTTACTTCTTTTATAACCCCATCTATAAATATGTTAAACAGCCATGGTGACATTACATACCTAAGGCCTACTTTTACTAGAAAATAAACTCCCTCTCTCCTACACACCCTAACCTGAGCCTCACTATCCTAATTATAGTACAGTATATTAAATTCTTACAAAAAATAAACATTCTAGAACTCAGGCATACCATATATATATGCATTAATACAAAATCAATATTGTGTAGATAAACAAAAATAGTCCAATTATGCACCATATCATATGTTTTTTGTTTTCCACAGTAATGTGTAAGGATGTGTTGTAACTGATATGTTGAATAGATTTTTATTGCTTAATTTTACAGTATCGTGGAAAAACTGATTGGAAGAATGGTACATACGCAGGGGCAGTAACGGGTGGGGTTCTTGGACTTAGAGGTAAGTTGTGGGTTAAGGATGAAAAGTTTAGTAAAAAATGCTTATAATTATTGAGCATTGAAGTTTTGCTATTGTAAAAATTTTATATTCTGAAAGGCAATCATAAGTGATTAATTCCTGCTAATTTGCTATTAAAAACACAACTATTTTCCAAGAGTTATTTCTGCATGTAGACACACACAGACACACTAGTATGTAGAGCAAACCTTTATTTGGACAGAGTTTTTCAAGTCATGTTGAGGATTACATTGACACACTTCCTTTGATCAAAATGTTGTCCAAATAAAAAAGTTTGTACGGTATACAGGGTTTTGATTATCTGTGCATTTGTTGACATCATGTCTTTCAATTCAGGCATCATCCTGTGGCTAAACCATTTTCATGGTATTTTTTTAACGGTTGTTATATTTGATTGCATTAGTTTTATGAGTGTACTTTGTTGTATCATACAATATTTGTATATTGGTTCATATATAAAGTGCTCATTCATTTTTGTTTTCTACATTTTCAGCGGGAGTTAAAGCTGGTGTTGCTGGTGCCTTTGGCTTTGCAGTGTTTTCCTTTGCAATTGATTACTACATGAGACACTGAATGCATGCCTATTGCATCCAGTCTTAAATACAGTATCATGAGAATGTGTACAGGAGATTTTAAATTAACATTATTATAGCAATCATTATGTATAATAGATTAATAATTAGGTGGTTACCCTTTCTGTATTGAATAAAAATAATGTGAGTTTTTATAGAAGTGCTAAATAAGTGAGGAAAACAGCTGTGATCATAATTAAGATTCTTTTGTGTTACTTTAGAAAAAAAAAGTCATCAGCTTAATTACAGTGAGTACACATCTGGCTGTAATTATTAGTTTAGAAGCTGATGTAAACAATACAGCTTGCTAAGGTGAGTAGTCGTGAAAATGAATGATCAAAAACAGCTTAAAATTTGGAAAAAAAAATTTTATATACTAACCTTACCAATTGAGAACAATAACAAATACCGAAATCTTAGTGTAATATGTATCATAATATAAAAAAATCTCATGTTGTATAATGAAATTTGACATAAATAAAATACCTATAATAAAAATTTGTAGCTGATAAATATTTCCATTTTTTCATCTTTGTGGAGAGAATTAACAAAAATGTGGACATGATGGGAAAAAGGAGACAAATTCAGTATGATGTGATCTTTTACTGACGATGTCAATAAAATATTGCATGTGATGTATTTTGCGTCTTTCTTGTTTCTTCATCATGTGATTGTGTTAAAATGGCAGACAAGCATTTCCCAGAACTATAACAAATTTCAGATTTAGAGAGCAAACACCACCCATCTTCTAAGCTTTAAATATACTAAATATGCAAGATCATATACATATTCAACCATTCATGGGAGGTGCCTTGATGCCTGATAAGGAGCTCTTGATTCAAGAAATTAATGCTACCATCTCCTTTGAATCAAATCTGATTACTTCTCATTTCCTTGGTGCCATATGGCCACTGTTGGCTTAGAGCTTCCCTTGATTATAATAATTTATATTTTAAGTGCCTTGAGCTTTAGCAGAACCTATAAACACACCACAAGAAATAAATATATCATGTTTTACATGCATGATTAAACCTGTCAGAACCGTATAAATAAAATAGGTCCCAATAAACTAGAGGTATTTTGTCAATATTATATTCAAATGGAGGTGTGAAATCTGTAGAGATCATACAGTATCTGGGGCATTGAAGGCAATCAGGCATTGATCTAAGGAAGCAGAAGGAAGCTTTTATGCCTTACATCAAGTGTCCTTCACCAGTATCAAGCCACCTTGAAGAGATTTTTTTTATAATCAGAAAGTTAAAAGAAATGTAAGAGAGCACCTGTACTCTGAGTGTTCTACTGTCACATTACCACAACTTAAAATATATTGTGGGAGTTAGGCCAGGACAGCTACATAGCTCATCTGTCTTGAGATTACTAGATAGAGGATTGAGCCTCCATGTGCTTATTTACCCTAGTGGTTTTAGTGTTTTTTGTCACAGTGAATGACCCATAGGGGATTAGCACTTTTTGTAAATCTAATAAGAGTTATTTATAAAAATAATATTTAATAGTTTTAAAAATGCAGTATTAGAATGTGGGGCAGAAGTTTGTGGTTATAGGAGGGTGGGGGCAGGAGGAAAGAGGAGTGATTGGTGGTAGACAGCAACCACCCAGGGAAGTACTACCGTCCTGCCAGATGACTGTGAAACAAAAACCTGTAACTGTTTTGCATGATGGTAGGATTGCTGGTTTTCTTTTTCTGTCTCATAAACACGCTAAGATAACAGGGATATCTTGCTACTCCTACGTACACTTTGGTCACACTTCACAGACACGCACATGCATATATATATATACATACATCTAGGTTTTTCTCCTTTTTCTAAATAGCTCTTGTTCTTTTTTTTATTTCTTCTATTGTCCGGGGGGGAAGTGGAAAAGAATCTTTCCTCCGTAAGCCATGCGTGTCGTATGAGGGACTAAAATGCCGGGAGCAATGGGCTAGTAACCCCTTCTCCTGTATACAATTACTAAAAAAGAAGAAGAAAAATTTTATAAAACTGGGTTGCTTAAATGGCGTGGAGTAGTGCGGATGACAAAAACAGATGATTGCTGATGTTATGAATGAAAAGAATTGGATGTCCTGGCCCTAAGCGAAAAAAAGCTGAAGGGGGTAGGAGAGTTTCATTTGGGGGAAATAAATGGATTAAATCTGGAGTATCTGAGAGAGTTAGAGAAAAGGGAAAGGGGGTAGCAGAAATTTTTTTTAATGATCAGTTATGGAAGGAGAAAAGAGAATATGAATGTGTAAAAATTTAAGAATTATGTGGATTAAAGTAAAGGTTGGATGCGAGAAGTGGGTCTAATAAGCGTTTTAAGCACCTGAGAAGAGAGGAATGCAGAGGAGAGAGAGAGATTTTGGGAGATGTTAAGTGAATGTATAGGAGCCTTTGAACCAAGTGAGGAGTAATTGTTTGGGAGGGGACTTGAATGCTAAAGTAGGGGAAAAATTTTAGAGAGGGTTTTGGTAGGGAAGTTTGGGGTGCCAGGTGTAAATGATAATGGGAGCCCTTTGATTGAACTTTGTATAGAAAGGGGGTTTAGTTATAGGTAATACATATTTTAAGAAAAAGAGGATAAATAAGTATACAAATATGATGTAGGGCGAAATGACAGTAGTTTGTTGGATTATGTATTGGTAGATAAAAGACTGTTGAGTAACTTCAGGAATGTACATGTTTATAGAGGGGCCACAGATATATCAGAAACACTTTTTAGTTGTAGCTACACTGAGAGTAAAAGGTAGATGGGATACCAGGAGAATAGAAGCATCAGGGAAGAGAGAGGTGAAGGTTATAAACTAAAAGAGGAGGCAGTTTTGGGTAAGATATAACAGCTATTGGAGGATAGATGGGCTAATGAGAGCATAGGCAATGGGGTCGAGAGGTATGGTGGTAGGTTTAAAAAAAGTATGTTAGAGTGTTCAGCAGAAGTTTGTGGTTACAGGAAAGTGGGGGGCAGGGGGGAAGAGGACGATTGGTGGAATGATGAGTAAAGAGAGTAGTAAGGGAGAAAAAGTTAGCATATGAGAAGTTTTTACAAAGTAGAAGTGATGCAAGGAGGGAAGAGTATATGGAGAAAAAGAGAGAAGTTAAGAGAGTGGTGAAGCAATGTAAAAAGAGAGCAAATGAGAGAGTGGGTGAGATGTTATCAACAAATTTTGTTGAAAATAAGAAAAGTTTTGGAGTGAGATTAACAAGTTAAGAAAGCCTAGAGAACAAATGGATTTGTCAGTTAAAAATAGGAGAGGAGAGTTTTTAAATGGAGAGTTAGAGGTATTGGGAAGATGGAGGGAATATTTTGAGGAATTGTTAAATGTTGATGAAGATAGGGAAGCTGTGTTTCGTGTATAGGGCAAGGAGGAATAACATCTTGTAGGAGTGAGGAAGAGCCAGTTGTGAGTGTGGGGGAAGTTCGTGAGGTAGTAGGTAAAATGAAAGGGGGTAAGGCAGCCGGGATTGATGGGATAAAGATAGAAATGTTAAAGCAGGTGGGGATATAGTTTTGGAGTGGTTGGTGCAATTATTTAATAAATGTATGGAAGAGGGTAAGGTACCTAGGGATTGGCAGAGAGCATGCATAGTTCCTTTCTATAAAGGCAAAGGGGACAAAAGAGAGTGCAAAAATTATAGGGGGATAAGTCTGTTGAGTGTACCTGGTAAAGTGTATGGTAGAGTTATAATTGAAAGAATTAAGAGTAAGACGGAGAATAGGATAGCAGATGAACAAGGAGGCTTTAGGAAAGGTAGGGGGTGTGTGGACCAGGTGTTTACAGTGAAACATATAAGTGAACAGTATTTAGATAAGGCTAAAGAGGTCTTTGTGGCATTTATGGATTTGGAAAAGGCGTATGACAGGGTGGATAGGGGGGCAATGTGGCAGATGTTGCAAGTGTATGGTGTAGGAGGTAGGTTACTGAAAGCAGTGAAGAGTTTTTACGAGGATAGTGAGGCTCAAGTTAGAGTATGTGGGAAAGAGGGAAATTTTTTCCCAGTAAAAGTAGGCCTTAGACAAGGATGTGTGATGTCACCGTGGTTGTTTAATATATTTATAGATGGGGTTGTAAGAGAAGTAAATGCGAGGGTCTTGGCAAGAGGCGTGGAGTTAAAAGATAAAGAATCACACACAAAGTGGAGTTGTCACAGCTGCTCTTTGCTGATGACACTGTGCTCTTGGGAGATTCTGAAGAGAAGTTGCAGAGATTGGTGGATGAATTTGGTAGGGTGTGCAAAAAGAAAAAATTAAAGGTGAATACAGGAAAGAGTAAGGTTATGAGGATAACAAAAAGATTAGGTGATGAAAGATTGGATATCAGATTGGAGGGAGAGAGTATGGAGGAGGTGAATGTATTCAGATATTTGGGAGTGGACGTGTCAGCGGATGGGTCTATGAAAGATGAGGTGAATCATAGAATTGATGAGGGAAAAAGAGTGAGTGGTGCACTTAGGAGTCTGTGGAGACAAAGAACTTTGTCCTTGGAGGCAAAGAGGGGAATGTATGAGAGTATAGTTTTACCAACGCTCTTATATGGGTGTGAAGCGTGGGTGATGAATGTTGCAGCGAGGAGAAGGCTGGAGGCAGTGGAGATGTCATGTCTGAGGGCGATGTGTGGTGTGAATATAATGCAGAGAATTCGTAGTTTGGAAGTTAGGAGGAGGTGCGGGATTACCAAAACTGTTGTCCAGAGGGCTGAGGAAGGGTTGTTGAGGTGGTTCGGACATGTAGAGAGAATGGAGCGAAACAGAATGACTTCAAGAGTGTATCAGTCTGTAGTGGAAGGAAGGCGGGGTAGGGGTCGGCCTAGGAAAGGTTGGAGGGAGGGGGTAAAGGAGGTTTTGTGTGCGAGGGGCTTGGACTTCCAGCAGGCATGCGTGAGCGTGTTTGATAGGAGTGAATGGAGAAAAATGGTTTTTAATACTTGACGTGCTGTTGGAGTGTGAGCAAAGTAACATTTATGAAGGGATTCAGGGAAACCGGCAGGCCGGACTTGAGTCCTGGAGATGGGAAGTACAGTGCCTGCACTCTGAAGGAGGGGTGTTAATGTTGCAGTTTAAAAACTGTAGTGTAAAGCACCCTTCTGGCAAGACAGTGATGGAGTGAATGATGGTGAAAGTTTTTCTTTTTCGGGCCACCCTGCCTTGGTGGGAATCGGCCAGTGTGATAATAAAATAAAAAAAAATATTTAGATAAAGGTAGGGAAGTTTTTATTGCATTTATTTATTTAGAAAAGGCATATGATAGAGTGGATAGAGGAGCAATGTGGCAGATGTTGCAAGTACAGTATATGGAATAGGTGGTAAGTTACTAAATGCTGTAAAGAGTTTTTATGAGGATAGTGAGGCTCAGGTTAGGGTGTGTAGAAGAGAGGGAGAATACTTCCCGGTAGAAGTAGGTCTTAGACAGGGATGTGTAATGTCACCATGGTTGTTTAATATATTTATAGATGGGGTTGTAAAAGAAGTAAATGCTAGGGTGTTCGGGAGAGGGGTGGGATTAAATTATGGGGGAAACAAATTCAAAATGGGAATTGACACAGTTACTTTTTGCTGATGATACTGTCCTTATGGGAGATTCTAAAGAAAATTGCAAAGGTTAGTGGATGAGTTTGAGAATGTGTGTAAAAGGTAGAAAAATTG